GAGCTCAAGTAAGTCGCCCAGATCATGGTTCACTGCTCCAGAGCCCTGGGAGGCAACCCTTGGGTTCTCTGCTGCTCACCCTTCCCCCACTTCCCTGATGGGGAAGTGTGGTTCTTGTTCCTGTAGACCCTTAGTTTATTTGGGAGTCAGCCCTGCAGGGAGGAGGAGGGAGAGCGAGGAGGGGGCAGGCAAAGGCGGAGGGGAGGACGTTGATGAGACCTTTGCTGTCTGTCCGAATTTCCCTGTCCCTACTGCAGTTGGCCTTAGCAACATCCCTCTCCGTCTCCCCCTCCTCCCTTCAGCCGTGGGGTGGCAGAGCCCTTCCAGACTCAAGTGCCACGCTCAGAGATGCAGGAGCTTCTTTGGTGTAGTTCCTCTCCTACCGAGTGCACTCACAGTCTCGAGAGGATGCTGCTGAGACTTCTCCTGCCTTGCATTCTGCACATTCCGTCCCGCTGCTGCAGGGCTGGGGTCACCAGCCCTCATGTACCTTGACTTCTCCCCTGCCACAGGGCCCGAAAGATTCCCATCATCATTCGCCGCTACCTGCCTGACGGGAGCTATGAAGACTGGGGGGTAGACGAGCTTATCATCACCGACTGAGCCGGAATCGTCTTCCTGACTGTGCCTCAGCCCCAGTTCCTAGTCTCATATTCTTTATACGTGTAAATAATAAACTCTTCAACATTTCAACCCCTCCGCCTCCAGCTGCCTGGGAGGCCTACCCACTTCTTCCGCCCTGCTGCCTGGAGGGTGCACCCATCCCAGTGGCCCTGCGACTGTCAGCTCTTTAGGAAGCACCAGGGGCCCTGACCCCCTGTGGCTCCCCCACGTCCCTCCCTCCATCTCGTAGTCCACCAGAGCAGAGGCTGCTGCAGGAGACACCTCAGCTGCCTTCCCAGCAGACAGACAAGCCTTTGTGCCCAGGGAGCTGGTTGCCACGGAAACCCCCAATTTCCTTTCCAGTGGGGACTGGCTGCAGGGGCTTCTCCCTTCTCAGGAGTATCACAGAGCAGGTCTCATCAAGCCACCCATTGTTTCCTAAGGACCTGCCTCGAGCCTCTTATCGTGGGCTCGGATCCCCTTTCAGGAGCCAGTGCCCCAGCAGGAAGCTTGGGGATGCAGTGATCTCCTGCCCTCCCCGAGAGAGCCCTGCCGGGCAAGTCAGCAGCTGGACCAAGGACCGAGCACCTGCCCACCCCTGCCTACCCTCCCCCGCCCCCCCGCCTCGATCCCTGCTCGTCAGGCCACTCCCCACACACCATCCTTCATGACCCACCTCTCTGGTCTGCCACACCCATACCCTCTCCTTCCCAGCTTCTGGAAGATGTCCTTCCCCTTCTGTGTGGGGCCCCTGCTCCTCCGAGGCCTTCACTAGGATGGGTGCTGGGATGATGGTGGGCAGGGGAGCAGGGCTTCTGGGTTCAAGGCGTGATATTAAATCAGGACTGGAGCTCCCCTTTCTCTGCCCTAGGTTCTAATGGGTTCTGTTCTCTTCACTCTGCTTACCCAATCAATCATGCTGGTTCCTCCCTTTCTCGGGGTTGGCGGGTGGGGGGAACAGATGACAGGGAGAGGGTGTATACTGACACCAACAGGGATAGAAGGGAAAACGGGCTTCCTGAATATTCCAGCCTTGACCTCCCTTCTGCTGCCAGCTCCCCTTCCACGAAGAGGAGGAGCTCGCCTGACCTCTGCAAGAGGCAGGGACCCTGGGTGTGGGTGCCCCCTGGACAGGGTGGGAGTGATGAGCATCCCCAGGAGCGGGAGGGGTGTTTGCTGCTCTGGAGAAGGGTTAATTTGGGGGAGCAGTGGACTTCGCACCCCCTTCCACCCTCCTCCAAGCCTGTGGAATCCTTTAATCAAGTTGGGTGCTGAAATTTCAGCTCTGAAATGCCGCCTTTGTGCTGGCATCCAGGCGGCCGCCCCAGAGTGCGGGGGTCACTTTCTTGGCCCCGTTTCTCTAAATGGTCTCTTTGTTCCTGCTGGGCCGCTCAGTATCAGATGTGATTAAAGGGAGATGGGGCTTGGGTGGAGGAGGAGAGAAGCGGCTGGGAGAGGGAGGGGGTTAACCCTTAGGGGATAGGGTGTAGAGGAGTTGGAGAAAGGGGTGTTTTTCCTCCCATTTCCCCCTTGCCATTCTGCTGCTCTTTCACGGAGTCAGCCCCTTCCAGCTCAGCTGGCCCGGCCAGGGCATGGTCTCCTCAGCCCTCTCCCGATACACCTGCCCCTTCTCTGTTTACACGTGGAGCCACTACTGAGGCCTGAGCTCATCCAGAAGCTCAGGTCTAAGGCATGAGCACAAGCTAGGTCTCCCGACTTCTGTCGGGTTATTTGTTCTTTTGGGCCATTTCCCCTTCTCCCGTATCCCCAGTGACTTTCCAGTGAGCCTCACGAGGTCCTGGAGGTGGTGATTTCATCTTCTTGATATAGCCCCTCCCACCTGCCCTGCCAGCTCCATGTCCACAATCCCACTGAGCACAGGAGAAGACTGGAAATGCTGAACAGACCAGAAATGGACTAATGTCCTGCTTGTCAGTAGAGGGAAAGGGTGGGTTGTAAGAATTATGAGCACATAAGGTTGGTACTGATTGATCCCTAACAAAATTCTAGAATAGGCTATTGCATATTTGAAAACACTTGGATAATAAAAGGATCCTGGAGCTAGCATAGGGTTTCTAAGAATATCACCAAGTGAACCAGATTTTCTGTTTTCAATGGTTACTGGTCTGGTAGGTTGGAAGAATGCCACAGGTACAGTGAACCTTGATTTTAACAAGGCATCAGGCAGTCTTTCTGTGCAGCTATGATGGAGAAGCGTGTACTTCAAGGTGTTAAAATTAGATTCAGAATTGATTGGACAGTCTTTTCCCTAAGAGTATAGTTAACAGAATGGATGGAGAGGTTTTTAGTGGTGTACACAGGGCATGTCCCTCTTCATTCCAACCTTTTTTCATTAGTGACCTGAATGAGGATATTCAAGTTTCAGACATAAAGCTCAGGAAGACTATAAGTTGGATTCAGAATTCTGAAGGATTTAATATAGGTGGGGAAATGGTCAGATGCAACAAGATGAAATCTGTTGAAGATCAATATAAAATCCTGCATTTATCTACAACACAACAACATCAACAAAACACTAGAAAACCACTTGTATACAGGTGGTCTGACTTGGCCGCAGGTTTTATCTACAAGAGCAGGGGTTTGTAGTTACCACTCCGCTTCATGGGAGCCAGCGGTTTTGGCGAAGTGGCCTGAAGAGCTCGCGTGACATAGCTTCCAAATGGCAGTCTGGCCACTCGGGAGGACTGGGCTAGTTCTTGGTGCCCCCTACCCCGCCCAAGGTCCTGACTAGGAGGTGAGGGGCTGGAGCCCACAGACAGAAGAAACAGATGCAAGATCTGGGGACGCTGGCCCGGAGCCGTGACAGCATCATCGCTTTAGATCACAAGCGGAAGTAGGGCAGGTGGAAGAGATGGTTAAGGGCGCAAGCTTTGGAGTCAGCTGGCTTCAAAACCTGCACCGGCACTTCTCGGCACCCACCTCGCAGTGTCAGGTCCCCATCTGGGAAATGGGGATAACGACTGGACCCACTCCCTCATAGGCCTGAGGGATATAAAGCACTTGGCCAGGGAGCACCCAGTACATGGTAGCTATTACTGTTACTATGAGCTGAGTGTAAGGAAGGACTTCCAACCATTGGAGGTGTCTATCAGTGGAGCACGGGGAAGAGGGGAAGAGATTTCCCTGTCCCTGTGGTGGAGGAGCTCCTGGCGCCAGAGTGCAGGTTGGAATTCCGTTGAGGAAAGAGCTTTTGGGGAGGAAACCCTGAAGGATTAGATGGCATGTCTGCCATCCTGGTTTACACTTAGACACAGGCACCTGCTACGAGGACTCGGCTAGATCCTGGTGTTGGACAAGTTGTGTGTGTGTGTGTGTGTGTGCGCGCGCGCACGCCTGTGTGTTATTGGGGGAGGTGGCAAGTGGAGGGTACAGTGTGAGAGAAGGCCCATCCACCCATCCTAAAGGACCAGGCCTGCTGACTGCAGACAGCAAGACATGAGGCCTGATCTACCTTCAAATACTTGTTCCTTGAATTCTTTGCAAGGCCCCGTCTCTGCTGGGCGAGGAAGGGCTGCTTGGAAGGCGCTCTCGCTGAGTTCCAGCTGGGTCAGCAAGTGGCCCACCTGCAGTGTGGGCACAGCTGGGCTGGGGGCAGAGCTCGCATCTGAGGCCTCAGTTCTGAGCACACACTGACCCCACTGTGATGCCAGTTGTCCTAACCTGCTGCACTGGGAGAGAGGAGACCTTTGGATTGTCTGTTCTTTGCATTCTACCCCTAGCTACTTTCAGAAAGTGTTTGAAAAAGCACAGGTACAGGGATAAGAGACCAAGAGACAGGCCAGGTCAGGCCCACCAAGCAGGTAACCGGAACCTTTAATTTTATTATGTAGAATGCTTAATGCAGAGTTAATAGGGGCTAGAGTACCTAGCAGAGGGGAAGGGGGAGAGGGAGCTACTGAGATAAATAAGAGGGGGGCAGTAATGAGTTACATGTGGATTGGGGGGCTGCAGAACAGGAAGATAGGGGCAGAACAGAGCTACATACTTTATTCAAATACCATTGGGAGGCAAAGGGCAAAAGGCCAGGGCAGAATGTACATGTCAGGAGTTTAGTGTCTTCGGCCTGCTGCCAGCAACCTGGGTGCTGGGCCCTGGGTCTCCCCCTGGAGCCGAGGGTTTGGGCCTGAGCAGCCTATAACTCTGGGAAGCCCAAGGAGTTGGGGCTGACAGAGCAGGGGCCACAGAGCCTGGTGAGGGGAGAGGGAGTTGGCGGGGAGCCGGGAGGAAGGCTCTGTGAATTGTCTCCGAATCCTGGGGTCCCTGCCTCCTCATCTCCTGGGATGTGCCTCAAGATCTGGGAGCTTGTAGTGGAGTAGGACCTGGGTCCTCTTTCTCCATTAGACAAAGAATGAGGTTACTGGCATGAAATTGGATCTGGGGGCCTCTGTGCCAATCCCTTCCTGTGTTCAGGAGGGGAGGGGGCACTGAAGGGTTGAGGAGACCTCCCTCTGAGCCCCCACCCCCACCCCCTCTCCCTCGAGGCTATTCAGAACTGTCCTCGGCCCCTGCGGGGCAGACGGAGCCTGCTGCAGGCACTGACGCAGGTCTCTGGCTGGCCTTGCTCTTAGGCACATGGTGCAGGTGGCACGGGTTATGTCAGTCCCCTTATTGCCCACGAAAGAGGAAACATGGGCACAGGAGTGGCAAGGCCTCCAATTCCCATCTGACCCTGGATGCTTCCCCTCCTCCCAGAGGAGGTGAGCGGGGCCTGCTCAGATCCTGGGATCGAGGGTCATTCCTGGGGGGAAGGTGCAGCCCCTCGTTTTTCAGTCTGGGGCAACAAGCAACCTCCTTCTCCTCTGCCCAGCCGAGTAGCCCAGGGCTGTGCCTGGGCTGGAGTCTGGATAGGACGGGGTGGGGTCATCAAAGGCAGTGGGCCAGACAGAAGGCCTTCCCTCAGCTGTCGGCCTCTGCAGCTGCCTCCACAGCCGCCACCGGGCCTGAGACGGGCGAGGAACAGGGCGCGAGGGCTGGGGGAAGGGGCAGGGCGAGGGTGGTGGTGACAGGGCCTTCTTTAAGGCCGGGACAGCGTCGTATATACTGGCTGCTCCCAGTGTGTGGGGCTGTGGGACTGGGGCCCTGAGGGGCTGGGGTCAGAGATGGCCGTGTAGAGGGGCCGCTGTGAGGGCCCCATGTAGGAGAAGGCCGAGTAGAGGCCAGAGGTCTGGCCTGAATGGCCATAATAGGGTCCTGAGGGCTGATGGTCAGAGTAGTCAAACTGGGGGCGGGAGATGGAGGGGAAGGCGGAGCCATAGTGGGGCAGACTGAGGGAGGTGTAGGCGATCTGCGAGGTGGACGGCTGGTCAGTGTAGTGCGGGGGCCCCTGGGGCCCCGCGGTCTCCGTCTTCACCTGGGCTTTGGCATCCACGCCAGGTGGCGAGACCGTGGGCAGAGCCACACCTGGAGGCTTGGAGATCCAGGCAGAGTGTCCACTGGCCACAGCCAGGGCGCTGCCCAGCCCGTAGCCAGCTGCCGAGTAGCTGCCCACATGGCCCGGGTGCCCGTTGGGCGGCAGGTACTGGTCCAACTCAGCCACATCAAAGGTCTCCATGTTGGACATTACCTCGTGGCTGATCTCACCGATGTCCACGTTGCCGAAGTCGATGTGAGGCTTCCCGCCCTCCCCCATGGAGCGCCCATCCCGCTTGGGGTCTGCCTTGCCCGACTGCAGCTCTGTCTTTGGGGTGGTCGGAGGGGTGGGCGGGCCATGGCTCTGGCCTGCAGGGGAGGGAGACAGAGAGAAAGGAAGCAGGAACCGAGGTCAGAGGCTGCTGGATTCTGATGGTTCACTTTCAGACAAGATGCCTCCAGAGGCTGAGGACTGATCACTGCGTGACCCTGCAAGTTTTACACGTTTGGGCAGCCCGAGGTGGCATGTAATTATGTAATGATCTTGGGTTGATCTCCAGTTATTTATGAAGTTCCCCAATCTTAGGAATGAGTCCTGTCTCCTACCAAAACAGGACTCCCGCGTCACCCACCTCCTGGAGAAGCCTGCTTCATTCTGCAAAGCCCTTCCCATTGGAAAGTTCTTCCTCACACCAGCTGAAGTCGGCTTCCCTCCCTGCTCTCATTGTTCCTTAACTGTTGAGCCCGATGGGGTCTGGCCTGTGGGTCTGGGCTCGCCTGTTCTCTCTTAAGCACACTCAGCCTCTGCTGGCCGCTCCCTCTGCTGACCTCTCCCGCCCTCATCGCTTTTGCTGGCTTGCCTGGGCCTCCTCCAGCCCTGGGCCCTGAACAGCGATGTGTCACCTCCAACCCCCTCCTTCCTCCCAAGGCCACCTCAAGTGCCCCTTATTCAAGGAAACCTTCCCTGTGACCCAGTGCCCCCGACCATGCTCTCAGCTCCCATCACACACCGCGCTGTCCCATTGTTCCTCCAGCTTTCTCCCTGCCTGTTCAGGAGAGCAATGAGATAAGTGACCTGCTCTACCCCGTTCTTTTGTCTGTCCATTTGCTCATTCACACATTCATTCAGCAAACACTTAGGGGGCACTGCTAAGTGCCAGGCACTGTGCCAGGCGTAGGGGATACAAATGTAAATCAAAAGGGTCCTTGTCTGCACAAGCTCCTAGTCTTGGGGGAGATCCAGGGACCCACACATGGCTAGAGGGCAGCATCCGAAGTGCTGTGATGAGGGGATGTGTGAAGGGCTCAGGGGACCAGCGCAGGAAGCTGCTCACCCTGCCCTGGGGACGTGGGGAAGGTCTCACTGAGGAGGAGTAGCTGAGCTGTTGAAGGGGACGAGAAAGCCCAGGCCCACAGTAATAAAGTGAACTGGTTGTTCTGTACAAGGTCCAAGGTCTTCTGGTGAGTCTGTGTCCCTGAATCTCCGAAGGAGTGTGAGGGCGGAATGGCTGGACTGAGGATCCCATCGGAGAGAGAACATGTTCATGGTCTCGGAAACCAGACGCTCCTCGAGGGCAGGCCTGTACCTCCATCAGACCAGAGGCAATGCTGAGTCCTGTGCTGGCCAGAGTGTCTAGACTTTGAGTTTGAATCCTGGCTCTGCCACTTACTGTGTGACCCTGGGCAGACCCCCTATCTTCTCATCACTTTCCTTATTAGTAAAACAAAGGTGATAGATACCAAGCAGCTCAGACATGGCCTCCTTCTGGAAGCTTTCCTTGACCAGAGTCTGGTGGGTAGCTGGGTATCTTTGGAGACCGACTGGGTGGACAGGTCGATGCCTCCTCCCTAGAGGTCATGCCCCCTCATGGGCTTTGTGTGCACTTGTTTCATCCTGTACTTAATTCAGTTGTTTCCATCCCTCTAGAGTGGGCTCCTGAGGCCAGGGACCGTGGCTTCTCGTTTGTATGCCTGGTGTCTGCTTCCAGGTCTGGCACAAAGGAGTACTCGGAGCGTGTCTTCTGAAGGCAGAGCTCTGCTCACTGAGACTTGCCAACGTGCCTGACCCCAAGCACGGTGTTCTGTATGCTACGAACACAAGTGAGGCAGCTGTGGTGGAGCAGAGGCCCCGGAGCCAGACCACCTGGGCTTAGACCTCAGCTGTACGGCAAGTTACTCTCAGTTTTCTGTAGAGTTTTCTCTCTGTAAAATGAGAGTGATTTGCCAGAGCTGAGGTCTGACCCCAGGCAGTGTGACCGCCTCATCACAGTTTAGAGCGATTGGATGTGTGCCTGGCACACAGTAGGTACTCAGTTAATGTTAGCTGTTATCATCATTAATGAGAAGGAAACAGGATAGATACCCTGTGTCTGGCTCATCCATGGCACGTGCTCAATGTCACATGCCGTGTCTCCCCCATCAGACTGGGAGGGGGGAAAGAGGCAGTGATCTCCCCTTCATCTGCTCTCCCATTTCTCACAATCGTCCTGTCCCACTTTTCTTTGGTGTAACTCCCCCACTGGCCTCCATGGCCTCCTTAACTGGTCTCTTCACCCCAAAGCAGTGCCCCTTCTATCAGTCCTGGTCAGAGCCCTCTTGCCCAGCCGCCTCGCCTGACACCTGAGTCCCCACTGAGCTCCCTCTGGGCCCCTGCACCCTAGCTGGGCAACCACCCAGTCGGGCCAGCCCTTCCCAGAGCCTCGGGTCTCAAGCCAGCCAGCCTTTGCCTCTCCCCACCGCCCAGCCTCCCCCAACCCAAGCTCCCAGCTCCGTGCTCACCCGAGGGGTGCTCAGGGTTTCCATCTGACATCGGGGAGCCCTCGCCTGGGTGCCGGTGGTCCAGGTGGGCGCTCTTGTAGTGGGCCTGGATGGCAGCAGCACTGCCCTGCTCGGCCTCCCCGCCTGGGCACTCTGACTCTCCCTGGGCCGCCTTCCCGTTCTTCCGCCTCCGCGGCTGGTACTTGTAATCTGGGTGATCCTTCTTGTGCTGCATCCGGAGCCGCTCGGCCTCCTCAATGAAGGGGCGCTTGTCACTCTCATTCAGCAGCCTGGGGTGGGGTGGTTGGGGGAGGCAGCAGAGGGGGAGACATCATGAGTGTCTGCCCTAGAAGAAATGAGGCCCCGGGACGGGGAGCCCAGCGGGCAGGGGGCTGTGCTGTTTGATTTATGGACTGGAGGATGTGAGCCCAAGGCACCACAGCCTCAGAGGGCAGTGATCGCTGCCCCAAATCTCTCGGGGGCTGGAGTCTGAGAGAGGAATCAGCCTGCTGCTCCTGGCAGCCCCTGAGCATGGAGTTAGAATAGAGCTTACAAGAGGCATAGAGCTTCCTTCAGTTCAAGGAAGAGAAAATGTTTCTTGTCATCAAAGCTGTCTGCAAGTGGAGCTGGCTGCCTCGTTAGGGGGTGAGCTCCCTGGGACTGGAGGTGTGCAAACAGAAGCAGCATGGTGAGGGGGAAGAGTCCAGTGTCTGCTACTTACTAGCTGAGTGACCGTGGGCAAGTCACTTCTCTGAGCCTTAGTTTCTTCACCTATGAAACGGGGATGATAATACCTACTTCACCAGGTGTGGGATTGGCCAAGATAATGGCTGTGAAGCGCTGTGCACGAGACCTGGAGATGGGGGACTGGCACCTTGAGTGACAGGTGCAATTCTAATGCTGCTTGTGGGGTGGGTGGACAGGAGGACCTGGCGTGGAACCCCTCAACTCTAGAATCTGGATTTTTGTGAATCCCAGTGTGGTGGGGCCTAGGGGGCAGGATGTGAGTGTCCCTTACTATGTAGGAGCCACTGCCTCCTGGGGGAGATCAGATCTTCTTGTCCAGGGGGGTGACAGAGGGTAAAGGAAGTTAGACTCTCTTCTGAGACCCTGGACAGGGGCAGACAGACCTCCTCCCCAGTCCAAGCCCAGCCAATGGAAGGCAGCCCCTGAAGACAGTACCCCTGCCCACTTCAAGCAGGGGTACTCCAGCCTCAGTCCAGGGCTGGGGCAGGGGGAGTTCAGGGCTTGGCTGCTCAGGGTGAGGAGGGCAGGATGGGGTACCTCAAAGAGGGGCTCAGGGGAAAGAACACACACTCAGACTCCGAGACATAAGGCACTCTGTGGGAGCAGCTCTGTCCTTTGGCCCAAAGGGCCTCTCTCTCCAGCTGCCCGCCCCCCACCCCCACAGTGGGCGCCCTCTTCACCCAGTCAGCAGAAGGCTGAGCCCTCCCTGCCCAGAATGGGAGGGGGTGGTCATACCAGGCACCTCCTAGCGGGCAGCGGCATTCCTCTGCAGCTTAGCCTCCCCTGGCTGCCCTCCCCCTAGGCCACCCGGCCCAGCCCTAGTGCAACTTTCACTTTCCAAGGGTCCCTCTAGCTGAGTGATGGGATGGAGACCCCAGACCAAGGCCTCAGGAGTGAGGGAGTGGGATGCGGCCTTTTTCACCCCAGCTGTGCCCACCCCCCACCCCCAGCCAGCCTAGGGGAGTAGGTGGGGCAGGCCCAATGGTGTGTGTGTGGTGAGGGGAGAAGCTGCATGTGAGGGCGCTCAGCCAGCTGTGGCCCCGGCACAGAGGCTCCCAGGATGTCTGGGGACACTGCACTCCCTCTTCCACCCCAAACCTTCCCTGTGCCCTCTGTCCAGCTGGCAACCGGATGTGAATCAGCAAGAAAATGGCAGGGGGCACGGAGCCAGGGCACAGGCCAGAAGAGAGGGAAGATTCCAACACTGCATCCCATTGGCACCTCCCATGCTAGTTCCCAGCAGTACCCTAACCTCGATAGAAATCTAGCCCGGGGGCGGGGTGGGGGGATGGCCAGCTTTAGCCCAATGCTAACCTCACCCCCAAACCACCCAGCCGCACCCAGACCTTCAATCTCGGCTCTTTTCAGGCTCTCTCCTGACCCCAAACCCGCCCTGCCCCACCACGTAAACCCAATCCCAAACTTCATCTTGCCTCCAGCGCCAGCCCTCAGTCACCACAGCTCTAACTACAAACCTCATGCTCATCTGCACTTCGCTTCATCTCTGGGTCTCCGCGGTCTGGAATAGGGATGGGGAGGGGCTAGGCTGGTTCCCCACCCAAACTGGAACCCCATGTGGGGGGCTTCCACGGTGGGGCACTGGCTGCCACTTCACCTGCTCCTGTCAGGGAAGGGACCTGGGAGTCGGGAGAGGCTCCAGCCTGCTGTAATTATTCTCTCCGGGCAGGCCAACCTGTATACCCCCAGCACCACGTGAACAACATCTAACAGTCCTTTCCCAGGCGGGCACCGAAGGTTAGCGTGACCGTCGGCGCTCCCCCAGCCATTTAGGAGCCAGGACCTGGACGCTGGTGTGTCTGACCCCAACCCCCTTCCAGCACCCCACACAGTCTGTATGCATGTCTTTCTCTTCTCAGGTATGGGGCCCCTGATTTCCAGTTCTGCCCAGATAACCATACCCCTTCCTGACAGCCTGGGAGTCATGAGCCTGGGCCGGGGGTGGGGGGGATTTCAGGAGGAGCCCCTGGAGAGACTAGCCAGCCCAGTGCATATACAGATGTCTCCTGGGGCCCCCACCCAGGCTCTAGGTAGCCCGCCCCCTGTTGGCGTAGCCTTTGATCCTTGCCATTGTCTGGGGTTGGGTCCTGAGTAAGCAGTGCCTGCTTTCCTGATTGCCCCACCCCAGGTTGGCCCCTGGGGGGCACCCTGGGCCCCTGTGCGCACAGCTTGAGTGGCGGCCAGGAACAAGTCCTTCTGAGGTAGCCCATGCCTGGGCTAAGGGAACAGGGACAGACAGGGATGTTGGAGGGTCCAATTTTAAATCCTTGGCAATGGCATGGGGGAGAAGCAGGGTGTCCATCCTTGCTTTGATGCCCTCACTGTGGTCTGCTCGTGGTCCCAGGGCCTGTTTTGTCTGCCTGTCTCCCTCCTGGTTGTCCGTCTCTCACTTGCTCTTCTCTGTCCCATGGCACCAAGGGTACTGGCCTGGCTGAGCCCTGCCACAGTGTGGATGGACCTTGGGCAGAGGAGCTAGCTTCGACCTCTGCTCCTGGGCAGGGTTAGACCCTCTGAGTCCATGCAGCAGGTTGGCCACTGAGCCCAGCGCCTGCTGGGGTGAGCAGAGCGCTGAGAGCGGGACGGGAAGGAGCACCAGGCCTTTAGCAGACACATGGCCAAGGACGGGGCCAGGGGGCTGGATGGGAATTCCTCTAGGTCTCTTGGGGGCCCTCCCGCGCCTTCCACCACCTTAAGCCTTTGGCCTTCTAGGCCAATCTGCACTGTGCTGGGGCCGGCAGGGGGAGGGCAGCGGCAGGAGGGTGGCAGGCCCCTCTGACAAAGCCCAAACTTTCTGCAGCTCAGAGGCTCCTCGCTCCTGCTCTCCTCTGCCCTCACCCTCCCCACCTCCTGACCGTGTCTTAGAGTGCAGGCGTGACCCACTTCTGTCACCAAGGATGGTGTGTGGGAAGACCACTGGACGAAGAGCCAGGAGACCTCGGTTCTGGCCCTGGCTCGGCCCCAAGCTGTTACGTGGCCTTGGTGGTCCCTTTGCCTCTCTGGGCCTATCTCTTGGGCAGTCCAGTGGGGAATCAGGTAACCTCTGCAGACGCACATCTTCTGGAGCCCTTGCTCTCGATCTGAGCTGCCCAGGACTTCTTGGGGGGCGGGGTTGCCCTGGTCAACAACATATTCCCAAGGGGCCAGCCTAAGCCCCAGACCTGAGGTGAGGCCGCCTGCCTCCTCGAGGGCTGTTTTTCCCAGAGGTTTGGGCTGCTTCCAGAGAACCTGGGACTCTGAGGGACCCTGGGTAGGCAAGGCACCAACGTTTCCTCCTGGCCAGGGCTCTCAGGTCTAGGGCTGGAGGGGTAGGAGGTTACTGCTGGGTGGGGCCCTGGAAAAGAAGATGGCGCCTGGACTGGGAGAGGGAGGGAGGGGAAGAGACGGGCCTGGCAGCTCTGGGGCCGGGTGGGAGGGGCAGGCTTCTTTCCATGTGTCCCCTCCCCTGGGGGAAGAAGAAGCCCCGGCCTGAAGGAAGGGTGGTCAGAAGGGCACAGAGAAGGCAGCTGGGGTAGGACAAGATCCTGCAGTGGCCGAGTTGTCCTCAGCAGTCCTCCATCCCTCACCCTTTCAAAGACCCGGATCTGAATTCCTTGTCTGCACCCCCCCACCCCACCCCATCTCACTCCCCCTGGCTGCCTCAGTTTCCCTGCCTCTCCAGCCTGGCCTTCAGTTCCTTCCCAAGCGTTTCCCCCGAATCCCCCTGACCGGCGGCAGTGGCACCCTTGAGTGGCTTGCCTGTGGAAGGGGTTAGTGGAGCCCTGTGGTGTGGAGTCCTCCACCAGCCTTCCCTCCCTTCCGCCTTCACTCTCGCCCCAAGAAACCCAGGCCCGAGCGCCTGCCACCGACAGAATTCCAACCGCGAGGGGGCGCCTTCCAGCCCGCTGCCCCGGCTGGGGAGCCGGGCCTAGGCCGCTGGAGATCCGAGCGAGCGCAACCACAAAGGGGTACTGGGGGAAGGGCGGGTCCGATGCACCCAGCTGGCCTTCCAGTCCCACCATCAAGGCGGTGGCTGCCCCGGGAGAAAGGCTCAGGCAGTGCCCGTCTAGCCCGAATCCACCCGCAGGTAGGGGGCCCGCGGGAGCTCCCCGGAGGCGGGTCGGGGGCGCTCACCTCCAGAGCTTGCCCAGCGTCTTGCTGAGCTCGGCGTTGTGCAGGTGCGGGTACTGGTCCGCCAGCTTCCTGCGCGCTGCCTGCGCCCACACCATGAAGGCGTTCATGGGCCGCTTGACGTGCGGTTTGCTCTTGCTGGCGCCGTTGACGCGCACGGGCATGGGCACCAGCGTCCAGTCGTAGCCGCTGAGCACCTGGCTGACGGCCTCGCGGATGCACACGGGGAACTTGTCATCGTCCGCCTCGCCGTCCTGCTGCTCCTTCTTGACCTTGCCCAGCTCGCCGGGCCCCGGGCTGGCTCGCAGGCCCGATCCGCCGCCTCCACCGCCGCCGTCGGGCCCCAGAGAGGGCGCGCTCCCCGGGGACAGGCAGCGCGGCTCCTCGGAGCCCACGGGGCTCAGCTCCACCTCGGACAGGTCCTGCTCCTCCGCCATGTCGCCCCCGGCCGCCGCCGCCTCGGCCGCCTCCCCGGGGCCCGCCGCCGGGGTCCTCGCAAAGAGTCCAACGCCCACCTGGACGGGAAGGCGGGTGCGATGGGAGGAGTGCGCGCAGCCCCGACGGCGTCGCGGCGCGGGACGCGATGCAGGCACGGCCCCGAGGTGGCGTCTGCCTGGCTCCCCCTAAACCCACCACAGACCCTGGGCCCCGCGCACATGCTAGACCCTGGCTTGGCCTCCTAGCTCCCGCCTCCGTGTCTTCCCGCCACCTGGTCTCAACCGTCTCTTGGTGTGGGTGGGTTTGGGTTTTTTTTTTTAAACCTCCTCTTGGGTGGAGGTTTGTTGATGGAAAGGAAGAAAAACGGACTCTTTATTCTGCTCTAATCCTGGCTCCTGGAATTTCCCACCTTTTCTCTCACCTTTCCTTCTTCCCTTCCGCCTGCCCCGACGGTGCCTGGAGGAGCTGGGTGGGGGGCAGATGCGGGTGTCAGCCTCTCGCCACCCCACGCCCCACCGCAGGGTCCCAGGCCTGGGCCCCGGAAGGGAGGAGCGGGCTGCGCACTCACTCACCTCGGACCTCTCCTCCAGTCTGGGGCTCGTCCTTAGGAAGTGGAAAACCGTGTCCCAAGGTGTGCGGTCCAGCTCGGGGCTGGGTGGGGGACGCTGGTGGGCTGGGAGGGAGGGGCTGGGGGCCCTGAGCTTCAGGCCACGGCCTTGTCAGGACGGAGCCTGAATCCTCACCACCAACCACCCTGGCCGGACAGCCTGAGACTGACTGAGCGCTGAGCTGCTGCCGAGGGCTGGGGAAGGAAGGAGGGGGAGAGGGGGAGGGGGAGGGGAGGGAGGGAAGGGCAGAAGGTGGAGCCTCCAGCGCTTTCCTTCATCCCCAACACTCAGGGCTCCTCCGCCAGCACCCCCCCACGCCCGCTCCCTGCGCTGCTGCCCCAGGCCCATCCTGGGAGGTGTAGGAGTGGGGTGGTCAGGCCAGGAAAGCCAATGGATGCAGGTGGGCAGGGTCACAACCTGTAGCTTGAAGGAAAATTGGGCTCAACTGGGACCCCCCACCTCTGCCTCAGGTGGAGGGATGGGCAGTTGGCAGAGGATTGGGGAGGAATGAGGAGAAGGCAGGTGAAGCCTCTGTCACATGTGGGGCGCTGGCCTGTGTCGCTTCACCTAAGACCTCTCGTTGAGTGCCAGCCTGTCTCACCCCACCTCCTGCCCACACCCGGGCTGCCCTCTCTTTCTCACCTTAAACAGAAAGAGAGGAAGATTGCAGTCCATACCTGGTGAGGCGGGGAGAAGCTGCACACCCCCTGCCCAGTGCAGATGCCCCAGCCCCTGGTCCCCTCTCACTGGACACCCAGCACCGCAAGGGCTGGGCTGGCTCAAGGTAGAGGGACAGGACTAACGTGCAGGAGGCTGGGCCTGAGCTGGGCTGGGGTCCCTCTCCAAGTAGGTCTGAAAGGCTTCTGGGGCCCCACTTCCTGGCACCCAACTCCCTCCACCCTGGTAGGGTGAGTCTCAATCCTAGTTATCGTGATGTTCCCCCCCCCACCCCGAGAAAGAGTGGGGAGTCGCCCTGCCTCTCTCTTCCTCCTCTCTGCTCCCTTCTCCCCTCAGCCCCGTCCCCAGCAGGGTGACCCCTCCATTTTTCTGTCCTGCTCATCATCTAAGGCTTCCCCAGGCCTCTCCTCCACAGATCGCAGCCCCTCTCTCTTCTCAGAAGGTGGGTGTTGAGGCAGAGGTGAGGGTGTGTGTGGAGGACAGATGGAGCCTGGGCCGCACTGGCGACCATGGATGGCTCTGAGCTCCTCAGCAGCTGGGCGAGGCCCCAGGCCCACCCCAAGGGAGTCCTGTGTGGAGTGGGGCTGGGAAGGGGGCCTAGGCAAGGCCTCATGCTTGGGAAAGGCCAAGGGGGTGGAGGGGTGGGTAGTGGGACACAATGAGGTAGTCACACGAGGCGAAGGCATGTTGGGGGTGGGAGGAGCGGACACTGGAACACACACACACACACACACGCTCGCACACACACAACCAGCCAGACAATCGGGCCAGTGTGTCTGGGCCCTCGGAGCCCAGTGAATTAGGAGTTTGATAAGGGTTTTCTCTTTCTGTCGCTCGCCGGCCTTGGACAATCTCCCCCCAGTTTTCCTCGACGCCACCCCCGGCGCTGCCCACCCCCCCCCCCCCCCCCCCCCCCCCCCCCCCCCGCCTCCCTTCTCTTCCCTGTGCCCAGACTCTTGTTCGGGGCCTTGAAACAGTGAGCTGTCTTTGTTCGAAATACAGGTGAACGGCAATCATGTGATTAACACACACACACATAAAAAGCTTTTTAACAGCGCCCGCCTGGCCTCAGAACCGCCCAGAGAGGAGCCGCCCTGGATGGACAGAGGGACAGAGGGACGAGCCTCCAGCCGGTCGTGTCTGGCTACCCTCAGCAGTCTCCGACACCCGCTGCTGCCCGCCCGCTGCCCGCCTGCGTGGCATCTCTCGATCCCGGTGGGTCCCCGCTCATCCTTCCACCCCTCGGTTCCTCCTCTCGAGGAGGTGTGATGCCTGTGGCGTCTGTGACTCGGCCTGAGACCCCCTGGGGCAGGGAGGGGTGGCTGTGGAGGGTAGGAAGCCAGGTGTGGGGTCCCACAGCTCCCCTTTCGACTCCCCGCCTCCTCCCCTACCCTCCTTGGCCCAGCTGTGCCAGGATGGGGGTGGGGGGGCAGTGGGTGCTCTGGGTTTGCAGAAAAGCCACACTGGACAGAAGGGGCCTCTCTCTTCCCTTCCCTCTGTCTCTCTCTCTCTCTCTGTCCCTCTCTTCCTGTTTCCACAGTGCTATGTGGGCTCTCTGCTGAGAGGTGCTGGATGAGGCAGGTGGGCCTGCAGGGGGGCAGGGGTACAGTGCCGTGAGATGCCCAAGGCTGTGCGTGGGTGGGGTACCCCGTGCTGTGAACACACTGCCCACCATGCGGGCAACTCTGATCCCCTCCATCTGTTGCAGGCCCCTGGGGCCCAGCTTTCTCCAGCAGGGGAGGGTGAAGGGTCCATGTGCATCCCTGGAGAGCAGGGAGTTTGGAGAGGGGGAGGGCTCCTGGATGAGGACAGCGGTGCCTCTGCCCTTACCAGAGCAACCTTCTGGTCAGCGCCTGCTTCTGCTCCCTTCCCTGCTCGGGGTGGGAGGGGTCCTTTTCCCCCTCATTCCTGACCCTTCCCCAAGGATGCTGGTGACCCCCTTGCCACACCCCGAATCCCACCTGCCCATTCCGGGCGAGGTGTGATGCCTGGTGCACTCTCTGGCCTGTTCTCTCTCCCCACCAGGGAGGGCCCAACGTGAGAGTATAATGGTGAGGTTCAGGCTTCCTTCCCTGGGCAGAGGCCTTTCAGGAGTATCAGGGTTTTTCTGCGATCCAACCTGGGCTCTGTGAAGCTGGTCCCAGATTTACTCCTCAGATGGGCCCCTGGAGGAGGAGAGCTAATGAAATTCTGTCAGTCAAACGTAAAGCCCAAAGCCCGCTGATGCCCCTGCCTGGCGGAGCTGCTTCGGTTCGCTGTGACCCTTAACCCCTTAGCTCCCCGAGTCCTCCTCTTGGGGCACTGGCCCTGCTTTGTGGAAGGCCCACCCTTGGCTCCCCGTCCTGGGTCCCAGTGGCTCATCTGTCCCCTGGGGTGATGACCATCTTGCCTGGCCTGCCTCTCAGAACACCCCAAGGTGAGATGGTGAAATCTCCTGTTCAGCAGAGCCAGGGCCGAGCAGGGAAGGCACTTTCCCACCTCTAGGCACTGTGAGGGTGAGACCTGCGTGGGCCAGGCTGTCCTCACTCGTTCCTCAGGCCTGGGCCCAGCTCCCCGTTTCTGACCAGCTCCCAGCAATCGCCTTGAGTACCGCTTCTAAGTCTCGCTCCACGTTAGGGTCACTGTGGAGTCTTAAAGAAACATTGAAGCCCGGATCCCCTGCAGACTGGCTAATTCTGAATTTCTGGGCATGGGGTCCAGACATGTTTCCTTTTTGAAGCTCTCTGGGAGGCTTTGCTTTTCCTCACTGGGGTCTCTGGAACCTCGAGGCAGCGGTGACCCTCTGCAAGCCCCAAAATCTCCAGGGAGAGGGGAGAGTGCTGGGCTCTGGACCCCAGAGCTGGAGACCAGAACTGCAGTGACCCTGGGGTGTGCAGGGAATTGTGGGGTGTGGCAGGGGAGGGGCTGTGCTTTGGAAAGGGGGAGGGCTGAGGGGCACAGGTCAGGGTCAAGGGTACAATACTGACTGAGACAAAAGCTTAGTCTGGGTGAGTGTACGGTCGGGGGGTGGTGGGAGCTCCCCCACCTCTGGACAGGGGTGTTCTTCTGGGTTCGGGTGCAGTGGAAAGAGCATTGATCTTGGAGTCAGGAAATCCTGCCCCTAGTATCCAGATGGCCTTGGGTGGATTATGCTGTTAACCTCTCAGGACTTGCTTTTTGCATGTATAAAATGTTGATGATTTTATATATCACCATATCCCAAGTGGATGGGAGAATTCAATAAGAATACACAGGGAATTCCCTGGTGGTCCAGTGGTTAGGACTCGGCCCTTTCACTGCTGGGGCCTGGCTTTGATCCCTGTTTGGGGAACTAAGATCCCACCCCATGCAGGGAGGCGAAATTAAAAAAAAAAAGAAAAGAACACACACACATACACATTTGGTGTGGAGTAAGTGCTCCACAGTTAGTTAGAAGAAGTAGTTTAGGGACTGAGAGGTGGGGAAGGCTCACTTCAGTTCAAGTGCACAGGTGTTCACCTCAGGAGTTTGTAATCTGCCTGTCGAATCCCAGCATCAGACCAGGGCGGTGCGTGATAACCTCCTCACGGGCAGGCCTCTCCTGCTGTGCCCCTCAACAGCGAAGGCCCGCACTTCCACAGCCCCCCTGTGGGCCGGCCCAGCTCCGGGCCCCTCTGTCCCTGGAGTCTCAACAACTCTCTCAGTAGGTGCTGTCATTATTCTCCTTCTAGGAAGGAAACTGAGGCACAGAGACGTTCAGTGATGAGCCCGGGCTCACCCAGCTAATGATGGGAGGGTGCGGCCTGGTGCCCGCAGTTTCCCTCGTAGCCCAGCCTCTGATCATATGCTGCTCTACTGCCTCTGGACCCCAGGCACGGCCCCCCACCGCCCCCCAGGCCTTTGCACTTGCTCTGCGTTTCCCCTCCCAGTCGTCACTGCTTGCAGCCCAGCTCAGAGGCCCTCTCTTCAGGGCCGCACTCCAGGACACGCCCTGGTTGGAATTCTTTTCCTGTATTACTTTCCCGTGGAGGAGAGGATGGTGGCTTCATAGCTGCCTCACCTCCTCACTGCGCAGCCAGCCGGGCATCCAGGCCCGTCTCCCCTTCCTCCTGGGAGCTCCCCGAGGGCAGGGCCACGCCTTCCTCTTGGTCTTGGCCTCTCGAGGCCACAGCACAACCTCAGGGAGTCTTCCCTGAGTGGAGTTGCCATCAGAGTTCCAAGGGGAGAAAGATCAGGAAGGTTGGGGTGGGCAGGAGTGGCTTCCTGGAGGTGGAGGGCCTGAGTGCTGGTGGCAGTGGCGGGGGGGGGCGAGAAGGGGGGAGGACAGCATTCCAGGCCTGTCCCGACAAGCGCTCTCTCCCGTCCCTGTTTCTGGTCCAAGCTGAGGGTTGAGGACCTGCGCCAGGAAGGCAGCTCCTGGGGCCTGCGTCTTCCTTCCCTCCCAACCGCACCCACTCCGGGAACAAGGAAGCCGGGGCCAGTGCCCAGCGCTGCCTCAGGGCAGTTGGCCTCTGCCCTCTTCTTAGAAGCCCTGAGCGGAGACTGCTCGTTCCTGTCATCTGAACCCAGCTGCCGGAAAGCCCTTCCTGGTGTCTCCCCAAACCTCACGCTGCAGTGAACTTTTGTGAATGTGCCCTCTGTGCAGGGCACTGAGCCAGGAGCTGGGGTAGGGAGGTGCTGGAGGCCAGACCTTGCTTTGAGGAGCTCAGACTTTGACGAGAGAGACCTGCATGGAAACCCAGAACCCTGGCACGGCCGAGGTCCTCCATGGCCAAACGGGGGTGAGGGAGGTCAAGTCCCAGCCGGGCTGTGGGGGTCCTGTGTTGCCTCTGTCGCCTTCTTCCCTCTCTAGGCCTCAGTTTCCCAATCTATAAAATGAGAGGCAGGCTAGGTTATCTCCGAGGGCATTTCCAGATTCAACAGCCTGTGAATTTTATTTCAAAACAAGAGGCCAATGCCTGACCCAGTGTTTCCAAGGTGCTGCCTCAGGGCCCTCGGTGTTCCTTAGACACTGATCGGCATCTCTTGAAGAGACAGTTTTGTGGTCTAGTAAGTTTGGGAAATACTGCTTTCCACTTTTTCTTCTTAAAGATGCAGGGCCTTTGAGGGTGTTGAAAGTTCTAAGTGCTGCAGATAAGAAACGGATCTTGTTTGTTTGTTTGTTTGTTTATTTTTGGCTGCGGGGGGTCTTCGTTGCTGCGTGCGGGTTTTCTCTAGTTGCGGCGAGCAGGGGCTACTCTTCGTGGCGGTGCGCGGGCTTCTCATCGTGGTGACTTCTCTTGTGGCGCACGGGCTTAGTTGCTCCACGGCATGTGGGATCTTCCCAGACCAGGGCTCGAACCCGTGTCCCCTGCATTGGCAGGCGGATCCTTAACCACTGCGCCACCAGGGAAGCCCCAAGAAATGGATCTTTGTTTAAAATACCCCAACTCCTCTTCCTCCTTCTCCTTCTCCTAACGCCTTTCCTCTGACTCTGGTCCTTTTCTCTCCTCCTTCCTTTCTCCTAAGAGTCAAGAAGAAGGTGGCGTGCTCCCGTGAGGAGCCTGGGTGTCCCGTAGGGCATGGTCCTCAATTCCCTGGAGAGCAGGGAGTTTGGAGAGGGAGAGGGCTCCTGGATGAGGACAGCGGTGCCTCTGCCCTTACCAGAACAACCTTCT